AAATACATGCGAACGTACAAATATAATTTTGTCTCATATTTATAGTGCAATAAAACTGACGATTTTTTTTCCGTCCTAAAGGGTTACACAAGATACCCACCGCTGAGCCACCAAAGCATTATCTATGTTATCCGAACAAAATGATTAAACCTTGAATTTTCAACGTTTTTGAACAGCACAGTCAGTAGCAGTGTTTTTTTTTTTGTTTTTTTTTAATTTTTGTATATATTTTTTTTATTAATCCATATATATATTTAATAGTCATAATTGACCGTATTAATTATTTAAATTCTCAGCTCAATTGGTTGTAGGAGCGGCATATTGAGCAGAAGGTCGTGAGTTCGAATCCGCTCGTTGCACTAGCTTTTTCATCTTGGCCAAGACCTTAGATAAAAGTATAATTAATTTAAATAAAATTAATACGATCAATTATGACTGCAAAATACGTGTATGGAATTTTTATATTTTAATCCACTAGCTATTATGTTTTTCTTGTGTCTTTTTATAAGCTAAGTCTTTACATTTTAATTCCCCCTTCTCGACCTTACAGTCTGACATATACATTTCTTTATGTACATTTAGTGTATTATTTTATTTTGTAAAAAGTTATTAAAACTTGTGTTGGTAGCACTTAGGTCATCAGGGTACCTATACTTCAACTTGTTTTTAGGTCAAATTCAGGTTATTTTGTTTTAATAACGATGCTGTTGTTTCAATATTTAATTAAAGTTACTAAGGACGTGATTGCGCCGGCCGATGGTCGGATGTCCGTCTCGTATGTGTCAAGTTATCGGTTCTGGGTTCGAATCCCCGAAGAGCCCATGACTTTTAAATGATAATGGTATAAAAAATGTATTGGAAAGTGGTTTGACCCCCCCCCCTTTTCAGCGGCACCCAACTTGTAATTCACCCAAACTTGTAATTAGACATAGCCAAAGTTGCTAAGGAAAGAAATTGTAATTTCAGTAATTTTGTTAATAAAATAACAATTATAAAATAATAAAATACCAAATATTGCTTTTCATTTAAAAACAAAAATATGAAAGAAATCCTAAAGTTTAGTAAAAATATAGATAGGTAATAATATTTCACAATAGTATTTTTTTTAAGTAAAATTATTATTTTATACCCAACTACTTGCTTTAATTAGAGACAACAACTGTCCTTTTATTCTTATGCGCTTTGAAACTTTATATTTTTATTTAAGGATGCATGACTACAGACTTTCCAAAATTACGGTGGCTGAAGTAATAAATGCTAATTTGTCTCGGTGCAAAGCGCTCAGTTCACTAGCCCTTGATTTCAATATTGGCTTTGTGTTCACCCTTAACGACCACAAAGAATGGTTATCTAAATCCACGGCTTTTGAATAATCTTTTTGTTCCAGGCATGAAAGTTATACTTCTACTATACAGGGAACTGAATCATTCAAAGACTTTTTCAACTTAACAAATAAAAAGGTGTGCTTTAATAATTTATGTTGGTTCTTCAAACACTTGTGAGAAGATTACTAGAGGGAGAGATTACTCCCCTTTCAGAGATAATTATGCTCATTGTGTAGCTTATGCGTGAAGAAGGATCTCTTTTATTTTTTGAATAAGTGCCCCATTTTTTCAATTTCCTGTTCTCTTTTGAGGAACTGCGAGATTTTTGGGATCGTATTTGATTGCAAAATTTAATCCTCCCGATAGTACAGGTTAATTTTGCAAAGATTGCACTGGTGTACCGAAAAGAGCTCGTGGATCTGCATTCGAACCCGACATAAAAATGGGCTTTGTAAGTAGTTTTGTAATCAATGATGTTTAAGAACTTTTCGTCTGTATCAACTATCTTATGAAAATCTATTTTGTTTTTGTAATCAGTTCTTTTTTCAACCATGCTTCATTTAATATTTCTCATCTGAACATTTCATTTTGAGTATAGTTCCACATTTAAAAGGCAGCATTCGTATAAATTCCAAAATAATTAATTAACAAATGTACATTCGTGAAAATATGCTGTTAAAATCCGCGATCTATTTGGGGCTTAAAATGCCAGTAATACCTAGTTAATTTTTTAAAGCAATTCAACCTTATATCTTGAAAATATGTAATTACAAATAAATTCTAGCATAAGCTTTGATGGCCTGAAAAATATATTTAGACACACTTTGGCTAAAACTATTTAAAAGGGATTTACCAAAAATTAAGAATAACACGGAATTATTCTTTATTTAGATTTAATTGTTAATATTCTGTTTTATCGTTTAACTATTTTTATTTAACCACCATTTGTAACAAATAATACTGTTAAATCTAAAAACGTATTTTTTAAATAATATTCCCAACACAATTTAAACACGCACTATTAAGAGCGTTAAAGTATCGCAATAAAAAAAATTACATTCAGTTAATTTTATGACCTAATATTGTAAACCGTCAATTTCGTTGCGTGTTAGCTTTATCAGTTTTGTTTGTTTCATGGAACTTAGTAAAGCATGAAGCCTACAAGTGTAAACAGCCAAGTGTGTCAATAAACGTCAATATATGTGCAATCTTTTGTATCGATGGCCTTTCTCAACTGAATACAATTTCACACTGAATACGAAACGTTGAAGTGGATCAATCAAATAAGACAGATTTTCATGGAGATTTTTAACAGTAGCTCGTTTTTACGAATATAGTTAGCAAATATTTTTTGAATTTTTTTAAAATAAAATAAGAATGCCATATAATGTTTATGTTTAGGTATGTTACAAAAAATTGTTAACCCAGTGGCAAAAATTCCTTAGTTAGCTATTTTTGTATTTATTTTTTACCTTTCATACTTGCAACATTATCATTGATAACAAAACTTTAATTTTTTAAATTTTACAATTTTGCTACAGCTTGACAGTGTAATTTGGTTTCGTTATTAAAATGATTTTGCCGATTTAATGGCATCATTTTCATTCATTAAATCCTGCCAACTTTCTCATGTCGCGTTTTTAATAGACTTCTTTATAGTTACTAGTTTTTAAGTTGATTTTCACTAGATTTATTGATTACCAGATTTGGTAAACATGATCAATACAAATTTAACAGAACCTTTATTAAGTTTCCTTGTGACAAACAATGAGAGGTATACAGTTAAAAATGTAAACATAGTTTTAAAACAATGGGAGTAAAAGTAAAGAAAAACAAAGTATTTTTGCCATATGGGAAGGATTAACGTTCAACAACATTTTGTGTGTCGTAAATGAGGAGTCACACCACTTTACAATATGTACTTCTTTCACATTATTCTCAATTAAAAAGCGTCTGCCAGGATTCGAACCCAGGTCCGTTAGTACTGGCCACCGCGATCCCGTGGATGTTGTAGGTGATTAAAATGAGATGAGGGGTCAGAACCACATTCAAATACTTTTTTCATAGTCTTCCATTAAAATAACCTGGGCTACACAGGGATTCGAACCCGCTAGACTGACGAGACGTACGCCCTAACGGAAGTAAATTAATAACAATTATATCGTAGGCGTACCAGATTTTCTTAATGAATAATTTTTATTTATGTTCTCAGGTTGTTTTCCAGCTTGAGGAATTATTTTTTGTGCTTTATGAGTATGCAATAAAATAAACTTGACAATATATTTGAAGTATCGACAAATCATCATTTCATTTTTTCAGGCAATAGGCTTTAGAATATTTTTGGTTTAAGAAACTAATATTTTTACCCAATTTTTTTGTATGCTTTATATATATAAAAAATGACAAAATTCATTCTGTGACAGGCCTTTCGATTCAATCTTTTTCCCTTTATTCGGAACGATTTTTCCCTCCAAAATAAGGGTTTTAATGATGATTAAACTACACAAATACGATCCTTTTTTTTTTTTTTTTTTTTTTTTTTCAGGGTTTTGCTTTATTTGTTACTTAATTTGACAATAACCAGTCAGATTGGGTTTCGTTTGTTGAGTTTTTGAAATACGAAAGTCTTTGATACATGAGCCTAATTCGATATTTTGAAGAATGTTTAGGAAAATCGTTATTTAAAAAGAAAAATGTGTTGAAATTGATTTATAAAAGGAAACATCAGAATCTCGATTTTTTTTTGCAAACATATTTGTCAGCCTTCAACATAAGAAAATTTTCTTCATTTTTGTTGTTTTAGTGAAGGTTAAATAATTGGCAACACTAAAAATCGAAATATTTTTTTTTTTAATTTTTTTTTAAAACAAAATCTAGATACCTAAGTTTACTCCCGAGCCAATTTGACAAACCGAATTTCTTTAGTACTAATTTTATTACAATTACAATTTTAACACATCATTTCAAAAAATTGATACTCTATTTTGATTTTGAATGTTTGAGCAAATCTTTTAAGAAACACGTATATCAATGATTTTTCAACAATTTATACTTGTTTGCTTATTTGGGAGGGAAAATAGGGGATGTTGATAAACATTAAAAAATATGTTAGCTGATTGGCATATATTAGTTTGAGAATTATTTTCCCTTGTTTATATTCATCTTTTTTTACAATATTCTATATTATCGGTGATTTTATTTTTTAATTGTTTGTCTTCGTAATATTCTAAGGTGAATATTGTTATTGTGTTACGTTTTAGGCTTATTTGGAAAGTGGTATAAATAAAAATATGGTACTTAAACACATTAGAGGTTTTTGTTTTATTTTTATTTTAGGATTTTACGTTTTATTCTATTTTCTTTGCAAAGACAAGATTTATTATTTGGCCATGTAAAAATTGAAAATTATACTTTCGCGAACTTGTAACATTATTGTTTTACGTTTTTTAAAAAATTGGGTTATCTAATAACGTGATTCAACAGGCTCATGACGTGGTTTCATGGTTACGTGGTTTAACTTCATGCATATTATGTATGGTTACGCAATTGAGAAATAGATTAATGGATAGGATACTGTACAAGACACTAAAAAATCAGAAAATTGCTGTCTTTATATTCAAATTTTCTTCTCTTGGACTAGTTAGAAAGAGGAAGTAAATAAAATTTAACTCTGACCTTGAATTGTCGACTGGCCATGTTCTCGGAGGTAAAGGTTCTTCCTTTAGAGCTGATACTGGTCCCCTCGGCTGATGTAAGGTGTCCTGCAGGAACATCCGCGAACCAGGATAGAGTTTCCTTCCCCATGCTTCTAAGTCGGCAGCCCCGCAGAGGCTCGCCGCCCAAGGGGAGCTGGAACCGTAGCCACCGCACTCGACAGCGGTCATGATGTCAGACGAGCATCCCGAACACGTCTCTGGTGGATAGACCACGGGGGAGCGGAGCCGGGGTGCGCTACCCCCACCCTCCACACGCCCCCGGAGGCGTGGCCAAGGCGGAGCGCAAAACGGCGACGCCCTGCGGACCACCCCCGTTCCCTGTCAACCCGCTCTGCCGCTCACAACCCCTTCGGCAGGGATGTGCTTCACATCTCCTTCTTGTCGCTTTTCAACGGAAAAACTCGAAAATCCATAAAAATATTCCATAAATTAAATTCCCTTGGATTATTTGCCAATCGTCCGGTTGGCAGAATCATCCTGATCAACTGAACCACCAAAGAACTTAACAAAACTAACTTTTCAGATTTAGATAAAAAATGGCTGTTTATTATTCTAAATAGATAAAATCAAGTAATCTCATCTTTCACCCCATGTTGTGTTATATCAGGTACAACTTTCAAAAATAAGCGAATATATTTTTAATTATTCGTTCTGATTATGTTTAGGCTGTCTAACCTCTTCTTTTATCTGTCTAATCCTTTCTTCTTTTTTCGCCGTCATCACTAGTGAGTTAGTGCCAAAATCATACAGAACAAACTAGATAGGATAGGCTTACCAATGTGATAGCTACAAGTTCAACATGTATGTTGTTAGTTATTTCATTCTGTGAATGTGAATGGTTTCTTCTTTTGATATTTTTCTTCGTATTTTCCATTATAATGATTTTTATTGTCATTTATTAGACCGCAATTCGAAGGCGCATATTCGGGATTGTTTTGACAGGTTTTAGGCAAAACTCATAAAGAAATCTTGCCTAATACAATTAGAGTTTTGTAATTACTGTCTTCTTTTTTATTTTCCTTCGTATTTTCCATTATGAACCATTTTTATTCAATTTTATTCGATGTAGTTAGTCGTTCTCTCAAAGGTGTCATATTTTTTCACATCATCAACTTTCGCGAAGTTGCTGCAACTTTTGTCCCATATTCAGGATTGTTTTGCCACCTTTTTCATTCGATGCTAATAAATTTAAATTCTGTTATTATGTTGTAAATTTGTTAAAGCAAAAATGTCCAACTAGACACGATAGGCGCACCAAAACGATGGAAAACGACCAAGTTATAAACTTCAATCGTAACAACTTCTCATTTTTTCGTATTTGCCATTATGAAACCATTTTTATTATGAAATTTTAGTCGATGTAGTTAATCATATTTTCGTCGATATCGGCTAACTTTCGTAACTTTGCAGCATCTTTTGTCATATAGTCAGCATTGTTTTATCACCTTTTTTACTGTTTTTATAATAAATTTAGTTTTTTTATCATGTTGTGAATACGTTAAAGTTAAAATGTCGAACAATACACGATAGACCAAAACAGGAAACGACCAAAATACATGTTCAACACCACGTAGAAATCTTGAACAAAATCTTGCCAATAAAGATTAATAATTAGTTATTTAATTTGGTAATTATGGCTTTCCTTTTTTAAAATAATATTTCACATTATAGACAATTTTTCTTGTATAATTCGTTAAGACCGTTATTTTCGCCTTAAAAGTTCAGTACAAACTGTGCTAGGAATAGAAAAGTTTTTTTTTTAAACATGTCTTATTTCCCCACTGAAGGAAAGTGGACATTTTTTAATGATGGGCAGCGTTAATTTCCAATCATTCAATTATTTTTATTTTTCTTCCCTTGCTGTTTTCGTGTGTCAGACGCGTTTCGGCTCTTTGCCATCTTCAGCAGTGGATTAGTCTTGTCCAAATTTAATAAACAACGAGAATAGGCGGACCAGTATGACCGTACAATAATTTCAAGATCATACTCAATATTCGGCCTATGTTCGATGAAATAGGCTTTGTTAATGCAAAGAAACTAAATTTTGGGACGTAGCATGTTTTGTGCAATGTTCGGTATTTTTCCCACCTTTTTTACTTTATTTCATAGTAAGTTAGTTAATTTTTTGTTATTTATGTTGCGAATATGTCTCTAGCTAAAAGATCAATTGGAAAGGGTACGGATACCAAAACAATCGGAAACGCTCAACTACAAGTCCAGACAACTCGCAGCATCTTGCCAGTATCATTATTGTTATTATATATGTAATTATTGTTTTTATATATGTATATTTAATTTTTTATATACCCGAAATTTGAGATAAAAAGGTCACTGTCCACGGTCTCCGTAACTGAGACGGCGTACTTCGGATACCCGCGACACCGGACTTTCTACCTCATCAGCACATAGCATATTTTTGTGAAATTCCCTTTTATTGTACAACATGAACATCTCTGCTTAGGCGGTTTGATCGTGTGGATACAGTTCCAAAGACCATGGGTTCAAATCTCATCCGTGACAAAGCCCTTTTTATATAAAACTTTGTGTATTTAAATATTGGGTTGTCCGGAAAATAATGCAGGATTTTAAGTTTTCATTAAAAAAAATCTATATAAAATATTCTGTTTACGTTTACAGGATTACTCATTTGTNAAATTATTTTGATTAAAGAACATTGCTTTAAAGTAACTAGTTTCTTTTTTTTTGTTTAATACCAAAATCCTGCATTATTTTCCGGACAACCCAATAATTAACTACACTCTACGTCAAAAAACCGGACGCCAAACGTATTTTGTTGTTCATTTCAAACTAAATCTTTTATCTCGATTCTAATAGAACATGTTAAGCTAAGCCAAAGTAAACGAGATTAGAAATTCATGAATTTTAACAGAAAAGATTAAATTATTATTCAGAAATCGTGAGATGCGGTCTGGTCTCACGATTTCTCAATAATTATCGATTAACGGTCACGAATCACCACACATATTTAATAATGATGGTTTGAAAGAAAATTCTCCAAAACACCAGAAAGTCATTTAGTGATAGATTAAAACTTTTTTACTCAGTTTTGCTCTTAATGCGTTACTATGAGCAAAACCACGTAATAAATAGTTAAAGTCGCTCCTCACTAAATGATTTTCCGGTGTTTTGATAAATTTTCTTTCAAACCGTCAAAAATAATTTTTAAACTCGTGAATTTTTGATCTTGTTCAATTTGGTTTACATTAAAATAAGTATGTTATAATTAATGTACGATAAAGTACATATCGTTAGGAATAAACAACAAAATATGTGTCCCGTGTAAAACTATTAATCGGCAATAAAACAAAAATGACCATTAATTAATACTGTTTATTGGCTTTTTTTTAGATTGTTCTTGTAAGAGAGGACGTTCGCGGCCTAAATTAGCGAGTTTTGTTAAGTAAAACGATATTCATTCGTAATAAATTCATTCCTTCGTATTTTCCATTATGGGCCGACGTTGCAGCATCTTTGCACTATAGTCAGGCTTTTGGCCACTTTTTTATTTATTCTATAAAAACTTAGTATTCTTTTGACTTCAACACTGATGATCTTTTAATATAATAATGTTGAAGGCTGATCTCTGACTTTACAGGAGATAGTCATTAATCCTAACGCATGTAAATAAAAAAAAGTTTCGTTTTTTCTATTAGCTAAACTTGGCGTGTTTGCAATTTTAAAAAGAACGGGCTAGCCATTCATAAAATACATACACAACATCTTTTTACCACCTCTTTTGTTTAATCATTTAAATAACTTCCATAATTACATCGTCATTTTATATTATGAGATAATTAGAAAAATTTTGAGAAGATAGTTTATAAGTTAGTAATAGTGTAAGAGTAAGTTTGTAACATACATTTTTTTAAGTCTGCGAGAGCATTCAACACGAATATGAAATATTTTATGATCCCGAACAAATGATAAATTTAATGTAATGATTAAAGTTTCTGTAATCCACGTGGTCACAAATGACTCGGGATAAAACGACTTTCTTTTATCCTGGCCGTCACTCTATTAATTATTTATTTACTCATTGTTAGACTGCTCAACAATTTCTTACAACACTTTCAGGCCAGTAAATCATACAGATTAACGAAATCTACAATGACGAAATGTAGTCAGAAGATAATATTGAGTTTGATCTTGGAATTATTGTACGGTCATACTGGTCCGCCTATTCTCGTTGTTTATTAAATTTGGACAACACTAATCCACTGCGGAAGATGGCAAAGATCCGAAACGCGTCTGACATACGAAAACAGCAAGGGTAGAAAAATAAAAATAATTGAATCATTGGAAATTAACGCTGCCCATCATTCAAAGAAATGTCCACTTTCCTTCAGTGGGGAAATAAGACATGTTTAAAAAAAAACCTTTTCTTTTCCTAGCACAGTTTGTACTGAACTTTTAATAATTAAATAAAATCAAACTTCTTTTGATCAGAGGTACTGCCTAAAGGAAAAATGCAGATAATAATATATCTTTTACATTCATTACCATTATTGCACCATTTAACAACCTATAATCATACAAACTGCACAATCTACAGTACACTAAACCTTCTTTGTTCGGTTTTGAAAGTCGTGTGACATACTCTGCCCCGACCGTGCAACTTTTCCAGAAGAAAACTCGAAATCCATTAAGGATTTCCATAAAGACAGGTCCCCGGCGATTCGGTTGAGCGCCTCGCGGGACAGCTCTTGCATCTGTCAACCTCCTTGACACTTAGAGAAACCATTTAGGCTAGGAAAAGAAAAGGTTTTTTTTAAACATGACTTATTTCCAAGGCACTAAATAATACTGAAAGAGATAAATTGTTCTTACATGAAACAACTATTTGATTTAGATTAAACTTTGATATATATATATATNATATATATATATATATATATATATATATATATATATATATATGGTCCAGCATATTTTTCTTTTTCTAAAAAATCAAACGTATTTTTCACCAAACATTATGTTCATTTCTTCTATTTTCAACTCAAATATTACAAGCAAAGATTCTTCAAGTTCTTTTGCCTAAAGTGATTTAAGAAAACATCAATAATTATCTCAATTTTCATCTATATAAGGATCATCAAGTTAATTATATTGCCAGGAAGATAATCTCAATAAAAACTAGGCATAAGAAACCTCGAATCTAGGCAAAAAGAGGGAAAATTCGAAAGGTTGTAGGTTGATATGAGGAGTTGGTGTCCGACTGGATAGCTCAACTGGTAGAGCAGCGGCGTATTGAGCCAAAGGTCGTGGGTTCGAATCCCGCTCGTGACGCTAACTTTTTCATCTCAACTAAGACCTTACATAAACAAAATTAGTTGAAAAGATGAAAACGTTGGCACGATTTGGCACCGCATCTCGCTATATCTAAATAATAAATACAACCCAACATGTTGAGATGGGAAGTTGCTCTCCGAGTGGATCGAAGTCACGATAGCTCAAGTGGTAGAGCAGCGGCGTTTTTAGCCGAAGGTCGTGGGTTCGAATCCCAATCGTGACACTAGCTTTTTTTATTTCAACCAATACCTTACATAAAGATTAATTAATTAATATAACGTTACGATAAACATTATTATAGGTATTCAAAACTTAATGAATATATAAAAACTTAAACTTAGTGAATAACTGCTCCTGTTCCTTGATCTTAAGCAAGTTCAGGATGGATTTATTCATCTGTATATTTTTCTTAACATTAACATTGTAACATTGTTTTAGGCCGTTACCCAAATTGTTATTACTCTTTCAAATGAAATTTGGTTATTATGGACAATTTTGGCTTACCTTTCCTCGCAGGATTGGCCTGACAAACGCGTTCCGCCATTTCGCCAACTTCAATGTTCAACAAACTTCATTTTTCGTCTTTTTTCTATATAGTGTTGTTTTTTCATGCTTGGATGTATTATTGAGTGTTCGTGATAGTTTTCTATGAGGTGATTCGCGAAGTTTGATTATCTGTCATTGTTTGTAAATATTCTTGCATCTCTCCTAATTTTTTGTCCTATCTGTCGATGCATTTGTTTTTCGTATTTGCATATTATGGCGTATATACCATTTTTTGAGTTAGCGGCCTTTAGTACTGTCTGCCTAATATCTCAAGTTCTAAACTACGTTTCTAACACCGAAACGTGTTTAATTGTGCATCCGTTTACTCCGAAAGGCAGTGGGTGGATAAAGTTCATAATGGGTCTGCTTTCAGTGGGGAAAATCAATTCCATTAATCCCCGTATGAGCCCCATTCGAACCTTGTTTCATCTCAGTATTACATTTATGTGTTTATACATTGTTGGCTTGATTAACACTTTTATAAATATATGGCTTCTTAAGAATTTTTTAAATTCATTTACGATAACCACTCGTAACATATTTCATACTGCGTTTCCACGCGTCTGACAGCAGCTGGATATGTTTGGGTTTTTCACAGTTGACTAAGAAGAATTTATTGGACCACATCTCTATTTGTGATTCCTTCCTAAAACACAATCGAACCGACCCATTTTTAAAAAGATTGATAACTGGGGATGAAATTGGGTCTTTGCAACAATGTTCAGAGAGGTCTCCAAAATTATACCCCGAGAAAATTGTTCGTTCGGTATGATTGGAAGGCAGGAAATGCTTGATGATGAGCTTTTTCCGTCCAACCAGATAGTTAATTCTACTGATCAGAAACGACCTAACTAAAGATTTCTTAGCTAACCTCGAGCTTCTTTATTATGCCAATATGAAATACATTAAATAAACTATAAAAACTGCAGACGAATAATTTTACAAAAACCAACACTGAAGATGGGGAAATGCCAAAACGCGTCTGACAGAGATCGGTAACGACCAAATTAACCTATATAAATTATCAATTTTTTATTGGAGATACGGGTTTGATAAAAAACATCGATATATTTAATTTTGTCGATCCATATTGAAGATGTTACATTACTGCTGAAAACAATAAACGTACACATTATTTATTTTTCATTTTCTTTTAGTTTAAAAATGTCATCAAGAATGTTTGATATGTAAGAAACATAATTTTATCATTAAAGCAATTTTAAATAAAATGTCTCTTAATTTAATATCTAGCATAGAAAATTAATTTTAAAAAAATATCCGTTAAAAACATCAGATGTATTTTTAAAATAGTAGTTGTTAGTGTTAGCTATGAAGCAGGTGACATTCCTTTCTTTGAGAGATACTGTTTGAGAAATTTAAAAATAATATTTACGTTTTATAAATTTTTTGAGCCAAAAATGAACCACGGTGTTGTTCTGACTAAATTTCTGCGAAGGTTACCCTGTCAAAATTGCATCGTTAGGTATTTCGAAGACGAATTCTGTTCCACCGCCGACAAAAAAGTGAGTGGGGGGATTATTTTCATAAATTTCTCTGTATCGGCTCAATATTGATCCTATTTTATCCGAACGGTCCAGGAATAATGCTAAAAATGAATGCAAGACACAAAAATGTTGTTTTTTCAGAAAGGTTTAGTGCTTGGAGCATATGATGGTTGCCACGAAGGCGAATACAGGCTAACAGCTGCTGGAGAAAAATACGATGTCGAGTTAGGGGGCAGAATATCGAGTTTACTTAAACAGTACTAGCTTATAGCAGTTTTTATTTATTTTTTTAACCAGTATTATCAGCAGGTCATTTGTTTTAGATCTGGTATTCAGCTAGGTGAGACAGTGATCTACAATAATTTAGGCGCGGAGTTTTATGCAGTTGCTGTATCCGCGCTGGGCCAAGAAGGCCTCGGCTACAATGAGATCGAATGCCTGGAGGAATGCAAGGAGAACATCCGAATCGCTTCTGCAGTGGGGGCTAAAGCTCTGCAAGAGCAGCATGTAAGTTGGCTAAAGCCTTTTACTCGAGCCGGCGTCATACTCGCCCCTATTTCCAGGGTCTTCCGATCGTGATGGTTGAAGGTTTCACCAACCCTGAAGCAGCAGCGGAAGGAGCCATCCTATCCGTTTGGCGCTACCAAGAGCAAAAAACCAACGTTGCCCGCAAAGTTGTCGAGCCCGTCCTCGAACTGTACGATGACCCTGATAGAGAATCCTGGGATAGGGGAATGGTGAAAGGTGGGGCTCAGAATGTCGCTCGTTATCTGGAAGAAAGCCCCGCCAACATCATGACTCCATCGAAATTCGCTAAAGTAATAACTATTATGTAATCAGAGGTGTGGTTTATTCGTATTTTATCTCTACTTTTAGTCGGCTATAGACATACTCTGTCCGTGTGGAGTCTCTGTCGAAGTAAAAGACAGGGAGTGGATAATGGAAAAGAACATGTGCGCGTTTCTCGCCATGGCACGCGGTTCGTACGAGGCCCCACTCATGCTCGAAATGAGCTACTGCGGTGGAAGCGAAGACGACAAGCCGGTTGTTCTCATAGGTAAATAAAAAGTCCAGTTGGAATGATCGACGGTGGGTTCAAAACGGGTGTTTTCAGGAAAAGGCATCACCTTTGACAGTGGTGGATTGTGCTTGAAACCCTGCGAGGGAATGGCGGAATTCAGAGCTGACATGGCCGGTGGTGCAGTTGTTATCGGAGTGTTAAAAGCTCTGGCTATTCTAGGTATTCCTCTCAACGTGACAGGTAAGAAATTCGCCTCCCCTCTCTCTCTCTCTCTCTCAAAAAAAAAAAAAAATCGCTTGAAATTATTGTTTACAGGATTGGTACCGCTGTGCGAAAATATGCCTGGCGGGATGGCGATGAAGCCCGGAGACATAGTCTATGGCTGGGAAGGGAAAACGATCAAAATCGAAAATACGGATAAAGAAGGACCTGTGATACTGGCAGACATCCTCGGCTTTTCGACTACCTTCAAGCCCTGCCTCGTCATCACTATCGGGACCCTATCCCGTAAGTCTTTTTCTATTCTTTCACAATAAACCCACCTGAATTTAAACAATGTTCCGTTTCGTCCTCTCCAGGAGCTACGAGAGCTGCTCTCGGCACCAGTACTTCCGCCGTTTTTGCAACGTCAGATGTCGTCTGGAGAGAAATGGCGAGGGCAGGGGCAGAGACTGGAGACCGGGTCTGGCGACTGCCGATGTGGAAACACTACGCCAACAAAATATTAAGTTAGCAACTAATTCAATTTTCAATTTAAAAAAAAAAAAATTTAACTAAATTTTAAAAAAAGCCTCTTATGATGAAGACTAACTTTTACCATATTTGAGTAGGAAGGGCAGTTTATAACAGCAATTTAATTAATGAAACATAGCTGTGATTTGTTTGTTATAAATTAACATATTATACCGTTATATGTTCACATTAAGTCGTATCTACTTTGCTACATACTCACTGTAATATACTTTTGAAAAATAAGTAGGTACTAACAAAAGCCTAAAATAATTTTATAGAATAAAGAAATGCCAAAGTTATTCACTGTTGCATAAACAAATCAAATCACGTTTTGTTTTAACATTTTTTAAAACATTTATTTTAGAAAGAACGGACGTAGATGTTTGCAATGTTGGCCTGGGCATCGGAGGCGATCCTTGCCTCGCTGCAACGTTTCTCCTTGTAAACTATTTCCATATTTTTTTAATAATAGTTTACTGTATTCATAAATTATAACTGTTATTTCAGGAATTCGCGCCGGCTGTTGATTTTATGCATGTTGACAATACTGGGACGGGTATGGAAGCGTCTGAGATGGCACCGCCGTACCTGAGGCCTGGCTACATGACAGGTCGGCCTACGCGGACCATCGTACAGTTCCTCAACCAAATGGCCTGCCCGCAAGATAAGTCGGTGTGTTGACCTATTTGCCAAAAACTGAAAATCCTAGAAAAAAACGACAATATCACCGTTGATCGGGAAAAAAGAAATTATCTAAAAAATTACAATAAAGCAAAAATTGACAAAGAAAGATTAATTTTCGCTAAACTGCTCAAGTATGACGGTTGTGTAACGAAATACATCCTTACTGTGTGGTATGGTATGTATATGAGATGGAAATCAAATATTAGTGATCGATAGAGACCTAAAACAAAATCATTTTGTCTACATATTCTGCAGAAAATCATGATATTTATTCTTGAGGTGTGATTAACCAGCAGTTTAGTTGTTTTGTAACATGCTTTTAAACTAAAGGAAAAGAAAATGACGCGGATCCAGCCTTCACAACGCAAAAATACTAACAAATCGAGTATATATTTTTTTCTCAAATACATGAAACCTTCTTGTCATAAAGTTAACTCAGGATGTATTGCGATGCCCACACATTATTTGATAAAGGGAGGAAGTGACTCCTTCCGGTTCGGCTCGGTTCGCTAATGGCAGTTTGAAAAAATCGGAAAGTTCGACCATTTAGGGTGAATAATTGAGAGAGTGCCCTTTTATTAATTCATTTCCGAAGTGTGTTTTTTGTTTGTTTTATTATTGCAACATTTTTTTTCCAATCGCCGCTTTTTGCAATCGAACTGAATTTTTACATTCAGAACACTTTTGAATAATAGAACAATTCCTGCGAAAATAATATTGCTAGATGAGCAACAAAGTGAAAATTTATTTTTCAAACACTAATTTTGTTGGCTTAGGTTTGTTCATTTTTAAATATCAAATTGGACATAATCAGCAATAATATTGAGTTGAATAATACAAAGATGAACGCGAAACGTGCCCATCTGACAAATATTTTAAATTTATGGTGTGAATATTTTATTTAAATTTGTTGTACTTAATTTTTGAGCGAGACAAAAGGTTGCAAACTTGTGCGTGTGTGTGTGTGTGTGTGTGTGTGTGTGGGTGTGGGTGTGTGTGTGACAGTGAGCAAAAGACACAGGGGGAGGAATATGGAGTAGATAGACTGATAGAGAGAGTGAGAGGGGGGCAGAGAGGAAATAAATAAGAGAGACAAATAGAAAAAGATTGATAAATATATAGATAGATTAACAGATAGATAGATAGAGATAGAGAGAGCGAGAAAGAAAGAGAGAAAGAGAAAAAGTTACAAAAACCAAAATACTATTTCCTCTCGATTTTGTCTAACATCCACGGTATAAACTTGCATTCATTTTTTTAAAATCTTTCTATATTTAACGTAAGCACAACAATTGGCACAGGAATAAATATATAAGGAACCAAAATATTATGTACTTGAAATATTTTTTCTCGGCTCGTACGATTGTATGATCTTTCGACCTATTATCACCAAAAGTTTCATTAAAATCTCTAATCCTATGTCCCTAGCTTAACTTAATTTTTCACTGAGACAAAACGTTACAAATTTGACAGAGAGAGAGAGAGAGAGAGAGAGAGAGAGAGAGAGAGAGAGAGAGAGAGAGAGTGAGAGAGTGAGAGAAAAGAGAATGAAAAAAAAATAAAGAAGATAGTCACAACCAGCAGATAGATACATAGAAACAAAAGATAAGGAGAGAGAGCGATAGAGACAGAGCGAGAGAGATAGACAGAGAGAGAAAGAGAGAAAAAAGATAAAGAGAATGAGAGGGAGAGTGACAGAGAGGGGAAGAGAGAGAGAGAGAAGAGAGAGAGTGACAGTGAAAGATTATATAAAGAAGATAGTCACAGGCAAATAAATAGACAGATAGAGTAAAGAGAGAACGATAAAGATAGATAGAGAGAGAGAAAGAAAGAGAGAAAGAAAGAGAGAAAAGAGAATGAAAGGGGAAAAAAGAAGTCTCAAACAGCACATAGATGTATAGAAAGAAAGATAAGGAGAGAGAGCGATAGAGACAGAGCGAGAAAGAGAGAAAGAAATATAAAGAGAATGAGAGAGAGAGAGAGAGAGAGAGAGAGAGAGACAGTGAAAGATGAATATAAAAAAGATAGTCACAGGCAAATAAATAGAGAGATAGAGAGAAGAGAGAACGATAGAGAGAGAGAAAAAAGAGAATAGAGAGAGATAGTGAGAGATAGAGAGGAAAAGAGAGTAAGCGAGTGACATTGAGACAGAGAGAAATATAAATAAGAGAGTAACAGACAGACAGATATAGAAAAAGAGAAAGAAAGAGAAGACAGGGTAGAGAAATAGGAAGAGAGATAGTAATAGATAGATAGATAGAGATAGAGAGAGAGAGAGAGAGAGAGAGAAAGAGAGAGAGAGTGAGTGAGGGAGAGAGAGAGAGAGTGAGCAGGAGACAGTGTGTCAGACACAGAGGAATTCCAGATTCTCTAGGTGAAGACATTATTAATTTTCATAATTTTGTATTTACCATTTCACCATTTTATTGGTGTCTTGGAAAAGACCTTACATGTTAATGTAAGATTGATACTCAATTTTTCTTTGATTACTTTGATCTTAGAATATTTACAATTACTTTGATCTTTTTACGAAAATGAACACCTTGAGCACAGGTGAACTGCTTGAAAATGACAAACGACAGAATTTTTTGGGCGTTGGTGGTTTCATGAGCTCGACTCTTGAAACAAAGTCCAATTATCTGTTACTTTGAAAATTGTACTTTAAATTATCATTTTCCGTGAGAATGGGATCTATTTTCTCGGAAGGGACGCTTCCTTGGAAGATGTCAGGTGCTAATGAAGTCTCCCATGGGAGAGGGCGTCGCTCACCATACCTGGATGCGTTGACACGCCTCTCTTCGGCTGTCGGCCCATCAGTTGAAACGCTTCCGGATTATATATTCCCCACTCTTTGTAGTACCTGCCGGTCCGTGTGTTCAAGTTGTGCTCCTCGGAAGTGAGGCAGGAGCTCGTGTAATAGGAAAGCGATGTCGGTTAGAGAAACAGCCCCCAAGGGTGACCTACCCCGCTTTCTTATACCGCCCCTGTCGCCGAATTACACTTTATGTCACGGCCCAAATAACAAATGTAATTCTTTATACCGACCGGGAAAGTGATACACTAAGGTCAGGTAAATTTCCTTCCTCTCTTAACTATTGAACGAATTATGTTATGGATAAATATAAAACTGTATCAATAGCGGAAATGGTTTTATTGCTTCACTTACTGAAGTTTCAACGGTGCTTATAATTTGTCAAGAAACAAAAATAGAAACACAGTGGATTAATAATTTGTCCACCCACGTTGTTACTATTCTTTTTATGAAATATTTGCTGCTGTCACATGCGTCCTTCAGATGTAATAAATAACATACATAAAGAAAGAGCGAGATAGCGAAAGAAAGAGGAGACAAGGGAGAGAAGGGGGGATTTTCGAGGATCTTTGTTTTCTCTCACACTTCATTCTTTCTCTCTACATGCATCTCTACTTCTACATCAGTAATATATCTCTTTCTCTGCCTGTCTCTCTCCGTCACACACATACCGGTTGATCGTTCTTTCACTATCCTTCTCTCGCTATCTGTCTGTCTGTCTCTCTCTCTCTCTCTCTCTCTCTCTCTCTCTCTCTCTCTCTCTCTTTCTGTTTCTCTTTCTCTTTCTCTTTCTCTTTTTCTCTCTCTCACATGACTCATCTTTCTTTCTCTATCTTGCTCTTTATTTATGTATGTTCTTTATTACATCTGAATGACGCATGTGTCAGCAATGGAAGGTAAAACTTCATAAAAAGAATAGTAAACAACGTATGTGGACAAATTTCTTTTCTCAATCTCTACTTTTCCATCACCCTTCCGCCTCTTTCCATCGTTCGCTCGTACTCTCTTTCCATGCATCTCTTTCTGAGTCTCTCCTATCCCTCTATCTCTTTCTATTCCTCTCTCTCTCTCTCTCTCTCTCTCTCTCTCTCTCTCTCTCTCTCTCTCCCTCTCTCTCTGTATTTGCTACCTCTTTCTCCTTTTCTCTTTCTCTCTCTCCCTCGTTTCGTATCTTTCTCTCTCTCTCTTACTCTCTCTCTCTCTTACTCTCTCTCTCTCTCTCTGTATTTGCTACCTCTTTCTCCTTTTCTCTTTCTCTCTCTCCCTCGTTTCGTATCTTTCTCTCTCTCTCTTACTCNCTCTCTCTCTCTCTCTCTCTCTCTCTCTCTCTCTCTCTCTCTCTCTCTCTCTCCCTCTCTCTCTCTCCCTCCTCCCTCTATATCTATCTACCTATCATCTCTAATCTCTCACTCTAGCTATATCTCTGACGCGTGTACGTTCACAATTAGAAAGAATGTGAGAAAATGAGAGAGAGTGAAAGCTTGAATGATTGTAAGTCCTTTTATCGTCGTTAATCCCGCAAATTTAGGTTGAGAATGACCCTTTCTACAATTAAGGGAAAAGAAAACGAGAGGAAGAGAGTAAGAGGGAGAGAGAGAAAGTAAAAAAGGAGTATAGAAAAGGTGTAAGAGCTAGAAGGGGAGGACGAGAAAAGGCAAACGTAAGACGGTTACAAAGAAATAAAAAAAAATAAAGAAGTTTTGAGAAAAAGACTGTGAGAAAGAGTGAGACATACATAAGATATAAACAACTAATTAAATGATAAAATACACAACAAATAATAAATCGTTCAGTGTTTACCGACCTTCTTGTTCAAATAGAAATTCATGCCAACAAAAATACTTGATTCGTTGATTATACCTTGATTAATGAAGATCTAATAAATATTAACATATGTTGTCTGAATGTTTTATTTCCGTTGTGAATACAAACATCGTCTCTTTTGTAAGTTTCTCCACTTCCTTAAAAGTCAACTACCTCAAGTCATTGTCATAAAACTCACTTCACTGTTTGAAAGAAAGACAGGTAGGAATCCTTCAGTCGTAAAGGCTTATTTTATGGCTTTCAGACATGTACAAGGGCTGTAATCATTCCGGTGAGGAGGAAAATGCTACTGTTAACCAATTCACCCATTGTACAGCTCACCACGGAACTAATGGGACCAATTGTGCCTTTTGCCCCTTGTGGCCATTCAACCAAGTGCCGAGTTCTAACAGTTCTACCTATATCAGTAGAAAAAGCAGTAGTAGCCATTCAGGAATAGCCCATTTGCCCATTACAAAAGTACACTTCTAAAAAACCGAATAAAAATAATCAAACGATTTTTTTAAAGTTATTTTTAGAAAATATTTATAAAAAAATATTTGTTATATGACATTCCCTTAAATTAATTTCTTTATTGGGAGTGGCTCTTTGGTTGTATTATCTACCAACCAAATGTTTTACGAGCTACAAATAAAAAAACACCGTTTTACAAACAACCCTTGTATTTTTTAGTTTTTTTAAATACTAATTTTTAATGTTACTCAAAAAAACACTGGTTAACAATCGTGAATGTACTCATGAGGACAAGCTATTTGATACAGAAATTGGGCAATGGTTCTGACAGGACGACCGGACATGCTCTGCTTTCTTAAATAAGGCATCCCAGTGTGCACGTTGACCGTACCAGTACCCGATATATCGATGTTGACAAAATCTATGCACGGCGGGATAAACTCTAAAAGGAATGCAGCTGCCAGGCACGGGTAACCGCCCGGTCCTCGTCCGACGTTGGTCGTGTCCACTCCAACAAAGTCTGAAATGAAGATACAATTGACATCGCTCAAAGAAGTAGCGGTTTTGAAGAAACTCACTTGTGACACGTGAACGGAAGAATTTCCAGAACGGGAGTCTCCAGACCCTGTCTCCGGTGTACATGCCAGCTCTGTGCATCTCCCACCAGATGATATCTGATGTCGAGAAGACACCATTCGGCGGCGCTCCGAGACTGGTCAGAAGACCGGCTGAAAAATAAAAGATTGACTACCGAAATCCGTTTGATGAAACCCAGCGGGCCCAAATAGACCCAGAAAAATGATTAAGTTTCAACTAAATAATTAATTCTCCTACAAGCAGCTCAACATCATGGACATGCCCCTAATTCATTGATGACCCAAGCTGTAATAATGCCTCACCACAAACGACTTTTAAATGCACCATGATCTACATTTGATCGCTCTACTGAGTTTAGGTTTTCACTAGAATTCTTCACTGAGGATAGCGTGAAAATTGAAAAGCAAAAATCTAAACCGGCGAACCCAGTAGAGATTATTTAGTGCTACTTTTAAGATCCTTTGTGGTTGTGTTATACAGATAGTTGCTTACGGTTAGAAGTTCCCATGTTAATGACGAGACACGGCTGATAGACAGACGAATAGGATAGGACATCGGCGAGAACGACTCTTCCGTCGTTATCCGTATCTTCGATCCTTATGGTCTTCCCGTTTCGGGCCATGACGACGTCTCCTGGCTTTACGGACATCCCGCTCGGCATGTTTTCGTAGACGGCGAGCAGGGCTGTCACGTTTAGGGGAAGCCTCATCCTAGCTATCGCCCTGAACGTTCCCACGGTGACGGCAGCTCCGGCGATATCGGCCCTATGGACCGACATCCCTTTGCAGGCCTTCAGGCACAAGCCTCCAGTGTCGAAGGTGGCCGCTTTGCCTGAAATAGAAAATAAGTTTTTAAATTTACGCCGTTTCCCGCGTCATTCGTCTGGGTTTTACCGCTTAGGACAATCGGTTTCTCGTTGGACTGCACTCCGCAGTACCTGAGCTCGATGAGCACTGGCGGCTCGCAGGATCCTTTGGCCATCGTGAGGAAAGCGTGGAAGTGGTGCCTCTCGATCCAGTCTTTATCCTTTGTCTCAACAGTAACCCCGCAAGGGCACAAATGCTCTTGGACGAACTATTTTTTCCATAAATTATTATTAAACAGAAAAATTAATACAAATAATATACTGTACCCGGGCGAATATGGACGGAGTCATGAGGTTTCCAGGCACCTCTTCTAATTCTCTTGCCATGTTCTGTGCCTCCGCTTTAACAAGGCCCCGATTCCAACCTTCCCTGAAATATTCCAATCATATTAGTAAGTTTTCATCTTTAAACGTGTTAAAAATTTTAGTAGTCAAGAGGCTGATCAAAATAATCCGCCTATCATAGCTGTTGGCAGATTATTAACGAGAATATACAGAAGAACACAATTAACTTCATATTTTTACTTTAGCCGTTAAGCCATAGTCATGGTCACATGCATGTTAGTTATTAATTAAAAACTTCTTCGGTTCCGACTGAGGGATCGCCGAACCCAGGCTTGGAGGAGGTGGCGGATGAATCTTGGGGATTTTCTCGCTATTGAGGTCTTGTTAAATTTTTAGACATTGTGATTTATTTGTTTAATATATTCTTGAATTTGTATATGTACATTACAATTAATTAAAATTAATTTCGTAATTAAAAGGGTAGGTTAATTATTTTTCGACCCTTTCGAAGAGGCATTTCCGATGATAGATGGCTTTCTTTCTCTAAATATTTTTCGTACTGTACAGAATTCTTAAGCTTGATTTTGGTGAGATATTCATTACATATTCCTGGTTTGCCCTTAATCTACGTATTGTTTTAGTTTTTTATTAACTTTCTCTTTATTAAACCATGTAACCCTTTTCACATCTGGATCAAATTATTTGTAAAATAGTCCCTTTCGAGAGTCTTTATCTTGTTTCCCATATATCTATATCATTTTTTATTGTACCGAACGTTTCATAATAAGGGATTTTAAATTATGTTGATTTATCTTGGTTAAATGCCTGTTTTGATAATACTTCTACCTTATCGTTATGTTTTATCCCAGCATGTGATCTTATCCAAATGAACTGTATTTCTTTCTGTCTCTGTTTGAGGTAGAATAATTTTGATAATATGGCATAATTAATATGATTATCGGTGTTTCTTAAGCCGTTTTGTTCTAGTTTTAAAATTGAGCTTTTTCTGTCCGTTCTAATGACACATTCTGGACAAGGTAGATCTGACATATAACAAACCACACTCGATATGGCTTAAGTTCTGCGAAGTATGTACTCGTTCCGTCTGGGAGTTTAATTAGGTATTCATATTCTTCATGGGATCATAAAAGGCACATCCAGTTCCGTCTAACGATTTAGATACATATGTCAAAAACTGTAAAAGATTCGCATATTTTAATACTAAAATTAACCTTACCTCCCAATATATTTTTGGAGGTTGGAGTCATGGAATTGTACACTCTTTTGCTGGTATTGCCTTTATTTTATAGAGAATTGTGTGGCATTTTTTAAAATAAATTCACAGGGGTAGGTGGTAGTGCGGGAAAATTTGTTTTATTTGTAATTACGTGTGCATAAGTAATTTTGGAAAATGATTTTCGACTTAGTATGTATTTTGTGTCAAATATGATACATTTTCATAAGCCATTATAGTTTTTATAAATTTTTGTTTGTTAAATTCGGAGCATTCCCCTCGAGAAAAAACTGAGTATGGTTAGGGTTTTTTTTTAATTTTTTTTTAATTTTTTTTTAAGCGGTTCCAAACAAATCGAACACCTTCTGCTTGGTGGTGCTTTCTGTTTTAATCAGTTATCCGGATTTCATCATCGTCCTTCATCACTCATCGTCAGACTGGAGATTACAAACACGTCTCTTTTAGATATAAACGAGATAACATATATCTTCAGCCTGATAAACATTTTACTCGAAATCCGGATAGCTGGTTAAAACAGACTGAAAATACAACTGTGTTTTCTAAAAAGCGAATTGACATACTCACCCCACCTCAAATTATTTCTGTTTATCATTACGTGTGTAACATGGCCGTTAATAGCTTTTATTGCAACTCTGTTAGCTATACTATTACCAACTATACCGCAGCGCCACGGTACACAAAGCCCAAATAAAAAGAACCTTGATATTTTTAATTTTTGGTGATTGTATTGTATAGAAAATGTTCTCTACAAGAACATCATAAAAAATAAATCTTACAGCCACTGCTTAATACATAAGCCTGTTTGGAATGTTTAAAAAAATAGTATTAATTGTCTCATAGCTCAAATAATGGCTTTTTGATTGCATTTGAGATGCCTGAATAAGGAAAAACTGATTAACTACAAGCAAAACCATATGGCACTGTTAAATTATTGGATATTGGCATGTTTTTTGACTGATACACCCATTTTTTGCGTCACCATGTGGGGTAAGGCTAGTTTAACAATTTAATCAACCTTCAGAGAATATTTATTAATCGTTATTTTCATCTACACGAAATTAATGATTTTCGTATAATTAGATAGGAAAGATTTAGAAAAAGTGTTATGTGTAAAAGAAAGAAGGCCATTTCGAGCTTACTCGATTTTTCGAAACTAGAATAAACCCTTTTTAAAAAGATAGTTCCTACCCACAGTAAGTTGTTTTTCAGCGATTCGGACTTCGAGCTTTTAGCTATCGTCAGGTTGAAGGAATTCTCTAACCACGTCTCGACATGAATTGCAAAAGTGAACCCGCCGTTACAATCTTTTTAAAAAGGATTGAACACCGCACTCACCATTCATCATTTCTACTAGAATAAGTTGTAATCACATCAATGAATTCATATTAAGCCTACGTCTACACTCGTGGGTTGAAATGCTACTCAAACGCGTTTCGGCTTTGCCCCATCTTCAGTAAGGAACTTTAAAGGCGGCGCAAAGCCGAAGCGCGTTTGAGTAACATCAAAACCGATGATTGTAGACAGACCCAGTGCCGTTTCAACATGTTTTAACCAACTTGCAGTCCAACTTAAAGCGGAAAACCTAATTTTACAGAAACATGAAGATATATGCTATTATAGCATTGTGTGACGGTGATATATACGTATACATATTAAATGGTTTTTCAGTTTATACCTGTCATTTCCAGTATAAAGGTCGATAGCGGAAGCGGTTAACTGCTGTTCCTTGGCCTTCCAATCCTGGTAACGCCATACGCCCAAAGCTGCCCCTTCCGCTGCAGATTCAGCGTTGGTAAATTCTTCAACGAATATATTGGTAATAGTCTGAAAAATGAATGGAGGTCAAGGCGCTGAGGTATACACTTAATTAGGACGTACCTGGTCCTGTAGTGCTTGAGCACCTACACCTGCTGCGATTCGGATGTACTCTTTACACTCGTCCAGCCCTTCTGCCTGATTGGTTGTGGCACTTTCCGGCCCCAACCCAGCCGCAGCCACCAAGTAGAACTCATCCCCTAAGTTACCGAAAACCTGGACTTTGCCAGATTTCAACTTAGTCCTGTGGTAGGAACAAAGAAATTTTAATTGCTAATTTTATTTTAATCGCTTAGAAATCTAATGAGAGTTTCCCCCTATAAGCTTACCCTTTTAACAATTCAGTCAATCGACCTGAGACACATTCATCGAATTTTGCGGCCGTCGGCGACAATTTAAATTCTCCCGGGCAGCAGCCATCGTACACTCCGAGGACTAGTCCTTTTTGCTACCGAAACATTAAAACAAAAATTATTTTCATACGGCTGCTTTTCGTTCGTCGAGACTTATTAAAGAATTTCGGATTTTACCTTCTGAGCTGTGCATGAGGTACCAGAGTATCTCACACGTGGCCTGTCAATCCGGAGACGGTTAGTGATTCTTCTGAGCATGTCGCGATGGCAACATGAAATTTAGAGCGTGTTTACTTGAATAGATGGTGAAATTTTGAATTTGGACATCAATGATAGAAGTATTTCTGAAAACTTGTGTTCTTTAATTTCCCATATGATTTATCTGAACATAATATTTACATTTTGTTATAATATAAAATCTGTTGTTAAATTATTCTTATGATTAATTTACGCACACATTGGGCTAGAAAATTTCGATTTGTAAATTGGAATTTTACAGTAGTAGACATAAAAATAAGTCAACAGTAATAATGAAAAAAAATCAAGCTGGCAACATATGTTATGAAAGACAACTCTCAGCCTGTCCTAAAATTCATATTCGCATCAAATTATGCCTTCAACATCAAATAATTATAAACTTGTAAAGAATTGAACATTTTACCCAAAAATAAATATAATATTCCATCCTCGTGCTAATCACTGTATTCTAATAATAATAATAATTATGTCCACGTTAAATTTTTAACCAATGTTAAGAAATCTTGAAAAATTGTGGTTAAATATTGGTTAATAAGCTGATGACCCTTTTGCACAAAGACAGTAGTTTGTCAATGATTTATCTTCTCTAATTCTGATTTATCTTTTAAGTAATTAATCTCTAGGATGACGAAATGCCAAAAGGTATTGATATCAACCACTGATGATCAGGAAACAATGATGATCAAAGATGATATAGCTGCACAATCATTTTGCCCCATCAATTAACGTAACAAAATGTCAATATTAACCAAATTTTAATAAATGCGGAGGTGTTTCTTCCAAAAGAACAAACATTGGAAAGCACCTCTAAAAGTTTCAATTTTTATGAGGTACGGTCTTTACTGAAAGGGTGCGGATTTATAAAAAAATAAGCCTTGAAAATAGTTAAAACTTGCGAATTTGTTAGAAGTTTCCAACTAACGATTTACGGTACTTTATCAAAGCATAAATTCCATTTTCATATTTAAACAATGAACCTACCTTCTAAAACGCCCTAATAAAATACACTAATACAAATGATCCATTGATTGTAAATTAAAAGTGTTTTGGTAGTTGATCTGCCGTAGTGAATTATCGAATAATTTTACTTTTAATATTAGTGATTATTTAATATTGGATATGTGCAGTATCTGGTTTCTATAGTTGCATCAGGTCTATCTGGTTCAGAAGTTTGATTTCTATGATGCTTTTTGTATGTTTTTTCATATTAGCAAGAGTACTGAATAATATTTTGGAGGGGAGGGGAGGGTTAGGAAATTCCAGGAATGGTGATCGGAATCGAACCTACGACCGCGAGATCTACCATCCAAGAGTCTGACGCGGTAACTTCTCGGCTATCGCTATCTCCTAATTCAACTATAAGGTAACAGAAAAGATGTCAAAGATGCTTCTATGAATTTTTGAATTCATGGTGGGTCTATTAGAATTATCACATAATACTTTTATGTTGGTTATGTAAGCTTATGGTTTGAATGTAAGCTATTTCCATTTATTTATTTAAATAATTTACAGCATTGGCTCCGAATCTAATGGTGAAACTCAAATCTTTCTTTTCTAGTACATACAGTACTTCATCATATATCCGTACCTAACACAATGGCATCTTCCTTGTTACTTACCACACCTCAATATATTACATATTATATTAATCCATTTATGTTCAGTGGTCTTATTGACCAAATTACTTATTTCAATTAATTATTCTTTTTAGAGTTCTAGTTAGTGTCACGATAGCTCAGGTGGTTAGAGCAGTGGCGTATTGAGACGAAGGTCGTGGGTTCGAATCCCGCTCATGTCTCAACCAAGACCTTACTTCTTCCTTAAAAAGAATATTACATATATTTTATCCCTTTTGGTATTCCACAAGAAAACCGTTTATTTTCAGTATATAGATCGCGGAAATCTCTCAACACCCTGACATTCGCCATTACCTACGATTACGACAGCAAACCTTTCTGCAAACCACGATCATTGCAGTGCAGAATTAAAATAAAACCAAACCTCTATATACTTTACGCTCAAAGCGCAAAATACTTCACAAAGTTCCACTCCTTGCGCCAGATCGCGTGCAATACTTGGGATTGTACTTAGACATGAAATTCACATACGCGATTAAAATGGCAGGATTAAACTACGTGTACAAGTCAACTAAAATGTGTTAAAAACTCACCATTCACAACAAAAAATATTTTACAGAGGTTAGTCCTATATGGACTTACGTACTAGAACTTTACGGAGCGGCTAAAAAAAAACTTTAACAGGACCCCATCCCTCCAGTGAAAATCCTCGCCACGATCACTGTACTTTTGTTGTTAGAAACCACTCAGACCTCTAAATTCCTTGCTATAAACCTACCCAAATTCCGACACTTAAAATTCCACTCCAAATTATTTTTTAATTCCAAGTCTTTCATCTGTGACCCTCTCACTTTTACCCATTTTATTCTAAAGTTAGGACTTCGCGACCAACTACGCACATCTATCGGTTTCATGTCAAAGTCAAAGAGGCTACCGAATGTTGGCTCATCTATGGGTTCTCACATTCACACTTAACTCTCTAATTAAAACTCTTGTAATTACAGTTTGTTTTTTGTAAACAAAAGAAAACAACTATACTGTGTTAGTCAAAATAATGTATTTATTCATGGCAGGACAGAACATGGCAAGGACGCAAATTCATGCTTAAAGAAAAAAGAAATCAGCAGTCATCGCCTTTATCATGGGGACAAGCGATTTGGTAGAGGAATTGGACAATAGTCCTCACCGGACGTCCAGTCATCAAGCCTTTTCTCAAATACGGGTGTCCCACGCCGTTGGAAAGCATTCCCGTTCCAGTTATATCAAGATGAATAAATTCTTCATTTGTGATGAACTCCTAAAAGTAAAATTCGTTTAAAAGATGTTTCTTTATGAAAAAACCATAGAGTTTCTGCTGTATAATATCACACTTACTTTCAAGAATGCAGCCCCAAGGCAAGGACCTCCTCCGACGCCTTTTCCAACGTTTGTAACATCAACACCAATACAATCTGAAAAAAAATGTTGACATGAAAGTTGATTGTAGATTTTCTTTTTTCCAGTATTCCCCAGAATCTTGCATTAATATAACCACCTGTCACTCGTTGTGTGTAGAACCTCCAGAATGGGAATCTCCAGACCCTGTCTCCAGTCTCAGAGCCGGCTCTCTCCAGTTCTCTGTATAAACTGTGGCTGTTGGTGAATGTCCCAGAAGCTCCTGTACCTAGAGTTTTCTTCATACCAGCTGCACAGTATGAGAAAGGCATGTAGACCAACTGACATTTGTGACTGATTGACTCTTTGAGTAACTACTTACGTGTGAGCGTGGCCACGTTCACAATTAAACAAGGCTTAAGGTAACAGGCGTATGGTAGGATGTCGGCGAGAACGACACGGCCTTCGTTATCCGTGTCTTCGATTTTGATTGTTTTACCGTTTCTCGACATGACTACGTCACCTGGTTTTGTAGCCATGCCTCCTATCATGTTCTCGCACAAGGGAATCAAGCCTGAAATAAAAAAAATTGCATCAAGGGATGATTTATGACATCTCCTTTAGTTACCAATAACGTTGATGGGCAAAGAAAGCATGGCGACACATTTCATAACGGCAAGAACGACCGCAGCCCCGGCCAGGTCACCTCGGTATTCAGACATTCCGGGACAATTCTTCAGACAAAGACCGCCAGAATCAAAAGTTATTCCTTTTCCTATAAGCCAAAAAACAAATTAGAGAAGTTTTAAATTAAATTGTAATTGAAAACTATACCCGATAAAACGATCGGTTGACCGTCAGGTGAACCACCACAATAGCCCATCTCCAAGAGAAGAGGTGGTTCACAAGACCCTTTGGAAATGGACAGAAAAGCGGACATTTTGCTACTTTCTATCCAATCTTTATCTCTCACATCGACTGCGACACCGCAAGGGCATAACGTGTCAATAGCAACCTAAAAGTCAACGGATATTAACACGAAAATGGTACAAAATCTTCGTTATTATGATCTCACCCCGGCGAATATAGAAGGGGTCATGAGATTTGAAGGTGTCTCTTCGATTCTTCTTGCCAGGTTTTGGCAGTCGGCTTTGAGCTTGCCACGCTGCCAACTTTCACGGTCTTCGCTGTCGAAAAGATCCACGTTGACTTCAGGGAACCTACCCTCTTCGCTCCTCTGTTCCTGATATCTCCAGACGGACAACAAGGAGCCTTCTGCGGCGGGTTCGGCGTTTGTGAATCCTTCAACGAAGATGGTTGTCATACCCTGAAAGAAAACAAACCGCTAGGTCGAGAAAATATTTGCGTTTATTGGAAGCTAACCTCGTTTTGCAAAGCTCGAGCTCCGACAGCCGCAGCCACTCTGATGTTCTCTTTGCACTCGTCCAATTTTTCAAGTTCGTTATAGCCGACTCCCTCATTACCGATGTTAGAAACTGCAACTGTATTGAAGTCATTGCTGACGTTGGCAAAAACCTGACAGGTTCCCGCTTTTATATCTGTTCTGAATACCACATAACATTAGTAGTAAATTTTCGGATATTATGATGAATTTTTATCAATACCCTTTAATGAGAGTGTTTATTTTTCCCCCATTCACTTCGTCAAACCTTTGGGTGGCTGTAGTCAATTTGTATTCTCCAGGGCTACATCCATCATAGACGCCAAGAACTACCCCTTTCTACAAATGGTAAAAATCACATTTAATATATATATGTCGATTTATGTCTTTGATTGTTATTTTGAAACAACATTGACCTTTCTACAATATAAACATTTGAGTTGGTTTTTGGGAGGATTTGTGTAAATGAAATGCGACTATCAAGGGGAGGCTGTAGATGTGGGATACTAGGGTAAAAAAATATTAAACACGTTTCCGAGCATTATTGTTTATATACCGTAGAAGTCGAGAAAAAGGCTTTCATTTTGTTAAAGGTGGTTTTCTGCTGTTTCAACATAGTTCCGATTGTATGCCGTCAACCAAAACTTCTCAAACGTTTTATTTTTTATTTCCAGTTCTAGTTTATTTACGGAGACCAAGTTTGAACCATTATATGTAGATCATAAGCTTATAAACCCCGGTAAAGTTTCCGGTAGATCGGTACAGTCGTTTCAATTTTAACACCATGTTTGTCAATTCCGATCAAATTCAGAGATAAAAACGAAAAAATTTACGAAATTTTTTGCTGTTTGCTGCCAAAAATGTGTATTCGTGGTGTATTTGTGGGTATTCGGATACAACAAAACTAGTATCAACCGTTTCGTGATAAAAAAATATATGTTTTGACCTAGTTTGCTACATCCCTCGGTCACAAATTACGTATTGCATGCGTATGTATCATGCATCCAAGATACTAAGTGATATTCGTTTTTCATATTCCGGAAATTTCATTTTCTAAAACTAAAGTAACATGAAATATCTTGAAATGCATGCACATCAAAGGCTGAAAATCATGTTTAAATTACTTAAAATAATATTTTTCTCGGCTCCTAGGATTCATCAGCCAGAAAAAAATTGTAAAACGACAAACTCCTGAAATATAATAACGTTGAAATACATGCACAACAAAAGCATAAAAATATATTTCATCAAATTTCTTAAATTACTTTTTTTTCTCGGCTCTTAGGACCCATTGGCAAGAACGCGGCACGTGTTCCACTTATCACCAAACAAATTTTCAATTAAATCTGTTATACGTCCGAAGCCTCACCATGTAAGTCAAACAAATTCATCTGAACTTTTCATTTAAATAAACAATCAATTTTAACATTGCCTGTTGATAAGTCAAGTTTATCTGGTGCAAAAATCAAACACGCATATTTGTTTATTGAAAAAAAAAAAAAAAATTAAAGCCGGTACTTTTGATATGTTCTTTGTTTATAATAATATTTTATAATATTGTCAAAAATATGGCACCGTTTTTAGAAGCGTTTTCAAAGCTATTTCAACCAGTTTTTAAAATAAAATTTAAAATTGCTTGTTGAAAATAAAGTTATAAACATGTAGATAACATTTTAATTCTAGTACTAATTTCTCATGTTATTAAATTTACGATTATTTGAATAGATTGTTACATTTTTAAATAGTTACTTAAATTAGAACGAATAACCGAGGAAAATGCTAAAAGTTGTAAAATTCTTTTCGATTGCTATGAATGTTTGCAAACAGCAGCTAATCAGCTGTTTAAGATGGACAGTTGTTTACACGTTATTATTAAAATTCAATTATTATAGAAAATTTAATAGTATAACAATTCAAGCATTTACCAAGCTAAAAGCTTTTTGGATAAAAAATCATTTTTGGTGAAAAATGATGTATTTTTATTTTGACTGAATTTGGGTTGATTTTTCTCTGGGGCAGAGTAAAACCGAGTTTTTTTAAATCATCTATAACCTTGTTTTTTAATGAGCATTAAATATCGTTGTTACCTTGCCTCCGGCGCTTCCACCGCCGCAATCTCCTCCAGCACTTCTGTACGGGATGCGTAAGCTGTTGAAAGTCTGCAAGGTCTTGGTGACACTTCTAAAATTCTTCATTCTCAGTCTTGTCTAATGTTATATTGGAACAGTAGATTCAGTTTTGTGTTGTGTTTTATGTGAAATGTGCCATTAAGTTTGAATGTTTTGTCAGTTTGAAGAATGTGTCCTGTCGACTGGTGTTTTTTATTGAAATTCTGAATTGATCATATGTTTTTTTATAGAATTAGTACCTGGTGATCGTGCATTTTTTATTTTTGTTAAAATATTTTTTCCCACGTTTTGTTGTAATTGGTTTAGTATAATTAGCTGGTATAAAAGCTTGTATTAATTGATTTGACTTGTTTTAAACAGTCAATCTATTTGGTTTGACTATTGTACGGAGTGTACAGTATTAATTTCTTGTCTGTATTCCCTCGGAGTCGGCAGATCCGTATACTTATAAGAAGTAAATTCCTGCATTACTCGAAATTATTGATAAGAGGGATTACATTTCCCGAATCTGACCGAGTAACGTGGAGGAAGCAAACAAAAGTGCATTGGATATTAATGCCCCCTTGCAATTCGGCCCTCGGCCCGGGCCTGCCCCCCCATCCCTAGAAAAACAGATGTGCCACTGAATAATTGATTCCCAGTGAATCATACCGGCCAGGAAAGATGTTAATAAGCTCCGGTTACAAATTGTCTTCGACAATGGCCAGAATTAACATAAAGTCTTGTTAACCGTTCTCACCCCTCATATGCTCGCAAGCCTCCCTGGTAATGACCTGGGCAGTTTTTACAGAGGAGGCGTGAATGGGATGGCTAACGACCTGTCAGCGGGGGTTTTATAGCGACTTGTTTCTTCCGATTGTTGTCCCTCCACTTGCTTCTCGATCCTGAATTGGCATATTGCATGAAACTGCATTTGATAAAACAAACATTGCAAATGGTTTGTTTTACTTTCATGAAAAAGTCCTCGAAACACCTCTTGAACCATTGTTCAGCCCTTTTATAGTATCTGCCGCTTTTACTTCAACAAAAATTCAAACCAAACAAAATAGGGTTTTGAGTTCTATCAATCATGGTATGTTAAAACTTCATTCAAAATGACCTAAAACTACTAAAAAAGTTCTTCTAAAACCTACTCAACATCATAGGCACCCTAATTCATTTACGACCAGTACTGCTCTCAGCAGAAATGACTCTTGAATGAACTCTTAATTCATTCACCTCCCTTGAAAATCAATACCCGATTCACATAATTTGATATATACCTGTCGTTTATGGAACAAAGCTACTTCTACACAAAAAAAAATTAAACCAAGCTAGATGAGTGGAATGACAGGTGCAAGGTACATTAAGTTAATTGGTTCATTATGACCTCAAATTACTGCAAACAACTCACCACCATAGGCATGGATCCTAATTCACGCGCGCTCACCAGAACGAGTCTTGAATTAACAGTCAGCTCACGTTGAAAATCCTTCTTCGATTAGTCAAAATTTATGTATTCCTTTGGTTTTGGGAAAAAGACCGCTTCTAGAACACCAGTAATCCAAACCAAACAAGATGAATTTTAGGTTAGTACCTATTTTAGGTTGTAGAAAATCAATCCCCGGTCTCGCCCAATTTGATATACGTAACTATGGTCCTGTAGTTTACGAAAATAGGCCTCTTTAACAACCCGAAAAACCCAAACAAAACGTGGTGAGTACATTTACTAGTGTACCAGGGTACATTAGTTACTGGGTTCAATATGACCTCAAACCATGGCAAACGTCTTAACATCAAGGGGATTCATCCAATTAACTGATAATCCGAGCTGTGATTACGTACGAATAGGGCGCTCAACAGAAACGACTCTTGAATTCTCAACTCACGCATTCTTTGAAGATCAATCATCGAATCGCCCAAATTCGGAGGTTTAGAGGAAAAAAGCCAATTCTAAAACACTACTAATCTAAGCCAAATAAGGTGAGTTCAAAGTAAATTAGAAACTACTCGGTTCAATATGACCTCGACCTCTGCAAACGAGTTTATATCATGGACATGCACCCTAATTCATTGATGATCCGAGCTGAGAATAGTAAGCTCACCTTACATTAAACCTCGGTTTGTTTTCTGGGTTTTAGGTTTTCACTGATTGTTCCTTACAAAAGATGTAAAATTTATAATTATCTAAACAAGGGACATCATCTGTGGTCTAAATTAACTCCTAATTACAACAAACACTGTTGAATAATCTTGAGGTATATAAAATGAATAACATTGTAAGTTTTTTTTTTTTTTTAAGTTTTTACTAACAGGACTGCGTTAATTCACCTGAGAAAGGATTAAAATAAATCCGAAACGTGTGGATAAAAACTGGTTGTGGTTTTTTTGAGATGACCTATTATCCCACCTTCAAGAAGGAAAAATCATAAGGACTGATATCTGTAAACGATATGTTTTTTGCCGATTGTGTTTCTTTTTTGTGATTTTCTATCATAAGTCAGCATTGTTTTTCTGTAGAACAGTTTAAGCATCTTAACTGTATTATAGATCTGAATTTCCACTTTTTTTCAAGATTTTTCAAATATCTTTCAAGCTTCTCCAATGAAAGGGCAAATTCTGCCCTTTTTTCCTGCTTTTCCGACAATGTTAAAGGAAGTGCGACCCGACACTGCGAGCACTATCTTAGCATTAGCGGATTTGAAAGGGGGACTGGGCATTACAGCTTGTTTCTAAATGTCCCCTGTCCCTCCGTTTGCCTAATGGGAGTTGGAAGTTTCCTCACATATCTTATAATTAGCCGTATATGAGTAGCCAACTTGGCCATTAGTGGACCCTGGTTATCTCCCTCCTTATTGTCTTTTTTATGTGTTTTTTTTTTTTTTCAAAGGTCAGAAGTTATTATAGAGGGTCCTATATGGCTAGGGAAATGGATATTTAACTTCTTTTTTTAGAACCCACTTACTTTAAACAAAATTTGCCAATTTAAATGACTTCCGCTAGAAATAAGAATAAAGGTTATTTGCTCGGAGGTTTTCTAGAAAAAAACCAACCCATTTTATTAAATTAATTTTTTCATCATTGTACATAGTGTGTGTGGTGTTTGGTGATCGTTAGTTAATGATTATTTGAAGATCGTGAGATGCAGATCATCTTCAGCGCTCAAAGTGTTTGTTTTCTGCGTAGATATGTCATTCTTGTGGGTCGTGTTGGGAGTTCCCCCGCAAGAATGACAGAAAGAACACTTTGAGCCCTGAAGATGATCTCAATAAAGATCGAAACGTTGGCACGATAAAAAATGTTTTTATAAAACCTACGTCACACCAGACCGCATCTCACGATCTTCTAATAATTGTAAATAGTTATGAGTCAAACACGCAAAATATATGTTCCAAAATATTCAATTTTCTTAAACAAATTGGAATAGTTATATGTGGTGATTAGTGACCGTTAATCAATCGATAATTATTCAGAAATCGTGAGGTGCGGTCTGGTGTGATAGGTGTAAATCCCAGGCCCTGAAGATGATCTCAATAAAGATCGAAACGTTGGCACGATAAAGAAAATGTTTTTCTAAAACCTATCACACCAGACCGCATCTTACGATTTCTGAATAATAGTTAGTTGAATTTTTTCGAGGTTTTAAAGCTCCATTGCCTTTCAAGGTAATTATCTAAGTGTGACAAAAATCGTAATTTGCTGTTTCATAACTTTGATTTAATTTTTTCAAATTCAATAGGCATAGTAAATCAACTGTCATTCGATCCCACGCCACATACGCTAAATTACTGTATTTTTATATGCCATACCATTTTTTGTAGTATCACAATTTCCAGTTTTCGTAATAGGCTCTGCGAGGTGTATTGTAGAATTTGAGATAGGGGGGAAAAGCCGTAGCGGATTAACAGTGATTAATCCGTATTAATCCACACGCACACATCTTGACTTCATTAGTCGTTGCGGCGTCGGCTGGTGGGGGAGTTAAAAACACGTTGGCCATATTTTAATTAATCCAGACGTTGCTTAAGGGAAGATGATGGATCAGGCCCGAAGGAAGGACCCGGGCTATCCTTCTCAATTATCCGCAAGGGTCTAATGAAGTTAGAGGCCGGCCCTATGGGATGTGTCCCCGGCAGCTAAGCGACTCCTAATGGCCAAGTTGCGTCCGTGGATTTGCTGACCGTCTGAGTTTATTTTGCATGGGACGACAGCCGGTGTAAACGCATGATTTATGCTCTTGAAACTGGCGGTCGTTTCAAGTGCGATGCATTATTTCAGCTTGTCAATTAGATAGTTGAAAGTTGGGAAGTGTCGTAAAAGCCGCTGGGTTGAGCGTATTACGCAATATCTAGGAGCATGCTAAAATGTCGATTTTGGAACATTTACCTCCTACAAACATTAATTGTTAACTTGCAATAAACAACAAAAATAAACAAAAAGTGCTAGTTTTTATCGCCTTGTCCAATATGACAAAGCATAACAAACTTGGTAATTCAGTAATACACTTTAGTGTAACACTGTGCAGATTTTAAAAAAAAATTGAAATATGATTTAAAACAAGTGTCATTATGGATTACGAAATCTTGAAGATATATTTCAAAGTGTCTGTTTTAAAACTAGACGGATGAAAACAAGATTCGTAAACATCCCCGGGTTTCCGTATCGCATAAATTAGTCGGAACGAGCAAAAAATTGCACGAAAAGCACTTTGGCTAATGTTGTTATAAAAGTTTACCAAGGGGTGAGCTCGTAAAGAAAGTTTAACCCGGTTAACCCCCTTGACGAGAGGTTACGGAGACATTATGGGAAATCAAGTAAGGCCCAGGTCGGGCGTTAAGGTTATGAGAAGTTATGTCGGCTCGGCTATGCATATTATATATCCCCGCCCCCGGGGATGTTTTATTTTTCAATTTTCGAAAGGCCGTCCCAGCCGCCCGAGTCCAGATTGTAAAAGTCGCTGATTTATGAATTTCTGCTTTACTTTCGACTACAACTGTCAGTGATACTTTTTTTTACAGTTTTGTTGTCAAAGCAATTATAATAAATTGGTAATGACGTAGATGGCTGGGTTTGCCAAACACCAAAGTAGTTGATTCTCGCGGCATAAGATCATTTCTGTATACAGGGTGTCCCGTGAACAAACGTCAATACTTCAGGACGTTATCCTACATATCAAATTTGAGTAAAAAGTCCTTATTGATTAAAATCTGATTCTCAATTGTATGTGAGATAAATCATTTTTCGGGTTGCTTCAACCTTTCATAACATTATTTATTTATTTAAGTCTAAAAATTTATTTATTTATTTATTATAACTCCAACAGAAACAAT